TGTGTGTGTGTGTGTGTGTGTGTGTGTGTGTGTGTGTGTGTGTGTGTTACAGAAGTACAGAATCTCAAACGTTGCTCTCCCATCTGTCACTTTGGTTTTCATAAAGTTCCCTCTTCTTCCTCCTCTGTCTTTTCACAAGACTTTTTATTCCTCTTTCATTTCATGATTAATCCACTCATCTCTTCCTCTGTTCGGAGAGCCAAAATCGCATTCTCCTGTTGTAGTTCCCTCAAAATAGTGCAACTTTTTTCTTTTCTTTTCCTTCTCTATTGACGTCCCTGCCCTTTCTTTGCACTCTGGTTCAATTTATTTACGCTGGCCCCAGATGGCCGGTTGGATGGACCCGTCACCGTAAATCTCGTGACACACAAGGCGCCCGCTTCCTGCTACCGCTTGGCTCGGCTGGTAGCCCTCCGCCAGGACCCTTTTCTGTCCAAAAACTTAATTCCCCCTGCTCGTTCACAGCGTTCAAAGGGGGCCCCCCACCCCTCTCCTCAATCTTCCTGCATCGTCTTTGACTGCCCTGGAAGCCACCTCCACTTCCACCGAACGGATGAGCAGATGGTGCCCTGGCACTAGCCGTTACTGGACCAATAGCCGTCCCTTTGTTTTTATTTTCTACTCCTTGGTTACGTCTTTTCGACTCGTCTTTAAAATGTCTGCTGTGTATGTATAGAGATGTAGGAGGAGGAGAAGGCGCTGTATTCATGCGTCTGGCTGTGCAGACTGGTGCTGGCACTCCATCACCGCGGAGGCCAAATGGAGGAAGAGGTCACCGAAGACTGGCCTCCGATCAAAGATTCACGCTGGCAGGCCTTTAAATGTCAGCCCGGGACTTTTCATTCACACATTTTTTTCAAGATGTTCGGAGTCGAGCTCTGTCCGCAGAGACATTGACTCTTAAACCTGATATGCTAAACACAACATCAAAACCTTTTGATTCTATATGACCAGAAACTAATGAATTCTCACAGTTCCACATTCTGCTTATCAGCTGTGGTTGATGACAACCAGAGGTAAATTAACCAAAATATATAAAAAACAAAAATGTTCAGGACATTTGTACCATTAAGTCATTAGTCAGAAATGACGAGGTCTTGATGATGATGGCCATAGTTTACATAAATAGCTGCTTGGAGGGGGGATGCGGAAACATTCTCACTTTGCGATTTAACTAAAAGTTTTGTCTCACACAAGCAAATTGTACATTTTGCATGTGGTAGTTGTCCAGTGAGAGGTATGTTGTCTGAGGTGCAACAATGCAGACACAGCCACTTTGTCAATACACAGGAGTGAGGTTTTGTAAGGCAGAGATTACCCCACAGTTCTGTGTACCCACTGGGTGGGGAGCCTTAGTGTGTGCGTGTGAGTGTGTGTGTGTGTGTGTGTGTGTGTGTGTGTGTGTGCGCGCGCTCTATGTGCACCATTTCCCAGGGGTTTGTTTGGCTAATGTGTGCTGTAGGCTGTGAAGTGGAAACTAACTGGAAAGAAATAGTGGAACACACAGCTACAACCTCCCCGAGGTCAGGACGCCCGCACACACACACACACACATACACATGGGAACATAACGGACGACACGCTTACACATTACCTCCACACATTAGATTACTTCATAAGCAAATTCACATATTTTAGATTTTTCACAGATACATAAGCGCACATAAACGCATACCCGGCGCATTCACATGCACTCACGCAGGCAGAATTAGACCTGAACACACGCCACAATTATTTAAAATGATAAATAAATAAACACACAACATGTTTGGTAACTCTAGGCTGTGACTTTTGCTCCGAAGCTGTGACAAAACTGTGAAGCCCAGACTGTGGCCCCGGGGCCCAAACTTGGCCTCACTCGGGATGTGTTGAGCGTTTTTTTATTTAGTTTGTGTGGGTCTGTTATTATTTGTTGCCTGGCCTTAAATTCTCGTGAGCTTGAACGAGCTTGAACCGTGAAACTTGGCACAAAACTGTAAATAAGACTCCAATCGGCCACATGGTGGCGCTTTAATTAATGCCTAAAAACTCAATTTGAAAAAAAAACCAAACAGAATTTGACACACATGTCGTACAAAAAAAGCCTCTTAGACAATAGAAGTCCACCAGACAAGATTCTCCGCAATTTTGTCATCTCCTCCTAAACCTTACGTCTGGTTACTACCAAACTGTCTGCGTATCGTTATTGGATCAAGCGTATGGAAATGTTAAACAGCTTGTTGATATCTTGCTAAGTTTTCAAGATAAAACTCGAACAAAGTCAACAACCGTTTGGCCGGTCATCACAAAACCTGCAGGATATGTCCACAAGAGTGCCTGCAACATAACCTGAAAGTGTCATTCAAATTGACCACTAGGGCAAGGGTTCTTAACCTTTTTGACCTCGGGGCCCAACTTTTCAAGTACAAAGTGTCCCGGGGCCCATTCAAATATTAACACTGTATTAGTTTAACTAATTGATCTCACTCTTGGTTTGATTTGTATTCAATAACTATATTAAATCCACTTACAGTTTAACAAGCAAAACCCTTGTCAAATAAATGAGATGCTACAATGTGATGATCACAAAGACATTTATTTATCATGTGTATGTAAACCTGCATACACAACAAGAAGCCCAACAGGCTTTCCCACGAGCGTTGGATGTTTCGTTGCTAAGTGTCGCTTTATTTTTGAAGGCTTCAAATAAAACCAAATAAAATGTGTCTGGAGCCGCAAAAGCTATTTGATATCACAGCTTATAAAGTGTTATATATAGTTATATTATAAATACAAAAATTATAGTTTGTTGTATTTATGAAAATATAGAACAAGAATAAAGACAATTCTTGACATTTTATTGCAATGTTACCTGATATAACAATAGCAAACTCTTATGAAGAGAGTTTGCTGCAGCAGCTGAGGAATCATCTCCAGCGTGACACTTTTCAGCACATGCTGTGTGCTTGTTCTGGAAGCATAGAGGTA